TGTAAAAAATCCTAATGTTTCACTTGAAATAATTCTTCAAATGATATAAAAAAAAAAAAAAAAAAAAAAAAATAGCCAAGACAAGATTTCTCTTGTCTAGGGCAGCTACTTTGATGCAATATTTTATAAACAAAAGTTGGATTAAAAAAACAAAAAACAAAACACAAACTAGAAGAGAAGAGAACTAGCCTTTCCATTAATTCTAAATAGATTTTTTTCCTTCAAAATTGTTAGTTTTTCATTCTTGAGACAAATTATTAGCATTATTCTTAATTTGAACTAAGATTCTCAACTCAGCAGTTTTAGAATGTTTTACCTGATATATTTACTGGCTTTCTTTGGATATACAGATGGTGCAAGGCCAACAAGTAAGGGTTTTCTATTTTGAAATATTTTACAAGTCTCTTGTTTCACTTTCAATATGAAATGAGTTTAAAAGTATTTTCAATGTATTTCTTCTCTTCATGTAAATATTGAGGCCTACAAATTCTGATTGCTCTTAAATAGAATTTGATGATCATTTAGGATTTTATTTTGTTATGGTGATAAATACAAAATTATGAGATCATTTTTATTAGTTGGTTTGTGATAGACATTTAGTTTTAAGCTATTGTTACTGTGGTGTAACATGATATCTCAGAAAGGTAAAGTATTTGTTTCCATTTCATAAGCAAATTCTATATGTTCAACTTTATTTCATCTACATGTCAGGTAAATTCATTTTGCAGGCTATATTAATAGAGTATCATCAATATAATGGATTGTTTAGGTAAAATATTTTAGAAAAGACCAGATTCAAGAAATTCTAAGAAAATGCATGCCAACACCTCCATTGGCAATCCAAATTTTTGTTTATAAAAATTTGGAAATAGCATTGATTGGTGAGATGACAGATTATTATTTTATTCTATTGGAAATGAGGTTTAAAACTGATTGTTAGATACTTTTTTTTAAAAGATTTAAACTTCTGTTTACAGGAAGGTAGGTGTAGGGATTTAATACCTAAAGTAGCTATGACTTTATCAGTCATTTATTCCCCTTAGTTTTTCAACTAGGTTACCTGAATTTTTAATGTGATTGGAGTGATTGTTCTGAAGAGAGGGGTTAAAATTTTCATTATGGCTTTTTAGCCAGTTTGTGGTGAGTGCTACCAATATCTGATATAATGGAGTTCATTGGAATGCTTGCATTGCAGGTTTTAAGGAGGCCCAAATGTTTGGCTCTTCTAGGGTGATATTCTTCTAGACCAGGATTTGTTTTCATTAATTAGTTTACTAATCGCTCTATTAAATTAATTTTATTGTATGTGTTACTATTCATAACAATTCCACCTTTTTGTAAATGTGGATTTCTTTTTTTTGCTAGGTTTCTTAGTACATTTATGTTACTGCAGTAAAGTTCTTTGATTGTTGGTTTCAAGAACGGCAGTAATTATTCTTGAATAAAGCCTATGATGAATTCTGTGTTTTGTCTATGATTTTTAAGTATTGTATAAACTACATCTCCTTTATGAATCCCAATCGTGAATTTTAAACTAAAGCTAAGGGCTTCCAGTTCAGTATTGGATATATTTACATTCAATAGATTTTCTATTGAGCCTGGTCTTCCAATGTATTTCCATTTGCTGTTTGAGTTTATGTTGTAATTTATTGATTTCATTATTTATTTATTTTATCACGTAAATAAACCATTTTTTACTTTTTTTTCAGAGTTTTAGTTCAGTACTTTTTAGCTTTTTTAAAGGTTAATTTCTCCTTTTCTTCAGATTAATTAAAAAAAAAAAAAAATTAATTTGAAATTCTCAGCTTTCTCCTTTGAGCACCTGTGCAGTTGCATCAACATAAACATCACTTGAGTCCAGTGAAGTTTTCATATATTTTCCCCATATATTATATAGATATGTATATAAATTTTCAGGACTTATACATTTTTTTTTTAATTATTTAAAAAAAATTTTTTCCTTCTTTTTAGAGCATTCTAAATTTTGATTTAAAAAAAAACCTTGTTTTTCTTTGTATCACCGGAACTAGTAAAATAATAGCACGTTTTTTTTTGTGACACACATTAATTTGGAAAATATTGCAAAAATAAAAATAATTGTCAGATGTTAATGAAACTTTCAGAAACTATTCACAGATGATTGAAATTATTATAAATATGTTTTTTTTTTTTCATATTTATTACTCCATAACTAATTTTATGAAAATGCTAGAAATTCGATCGAATCCAGTTTAGTTAATAGTTAAAAGCACAAGACTTTGAGGAATGCAAATCATTTTTTTTTTTAATTTTTTTCCCCCCCAAAATCAGCTCTGAATTGTAACATACAAAACCCAATAAAACAAAGATATTATTTAATTACAAATGCCTTTATTTGCTTTTAGTTGTTTTTATGAATATGGACAATATTTTCCGAAAGCAAAAAATTTTTTTGATGAAAAATGAATTTTTAATACAATTATTTGTCATTTCTTTAATTATAATAGATTTTTACATTTAAGTTAAAATGTTATAAAATTAGTTAAAAGCCGCATCTGCTTTCGTAAGTGTCCTTATGAGATAGTATCGTTTTGACTAATCAGAAGATCCGCAGTAATTAAGAAATGTAATTTTGTGTTTATAATCAGCTGTAATTATAAAGTACGGAAGACCAACCAGAATACAAGTTGCGTTATTTGAGTTAAGCATTGTTCTCCGCTGTTAAGGCTTTTACTTTTGCAAAACACGTGTGGAGAATTTGATTTTTCAATTTCAACTGAGAAGGGTACCTACAAGTATCAGTATCATCTTATGAAATTTATATGATCTTATTTTTATATTTATTTTTTTTATTTATTATTTTTATTTTTATTATTTTTATATTAATCTCGGTTATGACATTTTTCCATAAATGAAATATCAAAAATTAATAATAAAATAAATGGAAATACAAAAAACACATTCCATAAAGCATCATAAACGTAAAGGTGAATGCTAAGTACAAAAAAAAAAAAAAAAAAAAAATTGCTGAAAGTGCTGAAAGTTTTCCTTAAAATAACGAGGTAAAGAATCTGTTCATTTAAATCTAAATAACTTTACTATTCTCCTTCCGTAGAACAAATTACCCACACGTAATCTGTCAATATGTCATTTATCACCTGTCATTTATGACCTGCTTTATTTTATTTTCAAACTACATCTTTTTGGCGCAGAAGCTAAGTTAAACTTGATTCAAAATATTTTAAATAAACATAATTTCTGATTTTCTTAAAATAAGTTTTTTTTAAAAGAATTTCAGAGATTTTCATTTTTCTTTATAAAATGGAAAAAAATGGATGCCATGATTATCTGTCAATTTTGCTAACTCAAAAAACCCCAAAAAACAAGATTTTTAACAAATTTTGGATGTGCTAGGAACGATTAAAAATGTAAGAAAATACCCCCAAAATACTTTGATCTTTCCTCTTAATAATAATAATAATATGAACATTTAGACGATAAAATTTTGTTTTTGTCAAGTTTGGCGTCTTTTTCATCATGCTATGCTCTTTTATTGGTGATCTCATGGAGGTAACTAACTTATACACAAATGAATCAAATTATTTTACAAATTTTTTTTTTTTTTAAATTTTATGATAACTTGAGAAATTCAATGTGATAATTTATAGTGACTATATTACTTAAATGCAAAATTCTTTGAAGAATTTAAATCAAATTTTTTGCGAAATCAGACCTGGTCTTACTAAAAATCTGTTCTGAATTGAAAAATAAAAAACTCAATAAAACTAATATATATTAAAGGCAATATCGTCTAAAGGACAAAAAATGAATTTTTACAAGATTTGTTTTCACTTTTTACAATTTTAAATTGAATAATTTATAAAGTTTTTAAAATTCATTTTCAATGTGATAATTCTTAGAAAATATTGCTATTAAGTAAAGCTATATTTACTAATCCTATATTGTAAAGCTTACTACAATCTGATGACTCCAAATATTTTCAAAGAATTTTGATTTATTTTTGTATGCATGATTACATACAGTTTCTGAAGTATGGATGTACAACCCGATAAAGCTAGCAATAAAAGGTCATGTTTTAAGAGTTGTCCATATATAGACTTTATCATCTGCTCCACCATACTTAACTATGAACATGTTTGGCTATCAATAAATCAATTAACATGTCATAAAAACAAGACCCCATTAAGACATGTTTGTATACTATAAGTAATGTTTCAAATTAGATTAATTTAACTTTAAATTTGCTAATTTTCCTTAAATAACATTTCAGAAATATATTTTAGTTTTGTAAATTTAACTGAGAATTAACTTTTGTTTAATGTGTCAAAAATGGCTGAATTTTATTGATTTTACTGGGCGGGGGAATAAGATTCGGATCAATATAATTTCTGTTTGAAATACACCACAGTGAATTTTGCTTACTGGAAATAGTAAATTTTAAATCCTTTAGCTTTCAACTAAAGCTGAAATACTTTTTCATTTTTAAAATTCATTTATATATATATATATTATATATATATATATATATATATATATATTATTATAGTTTACTGCAGTTCAATCCAGATTGGTTTTCTCTTTTATTGTGATTATGCTACCCAAATATCAAAGTCCAAGTTGCTAATATAGTGAATTTTATCTTCATTGAATACTACACTATTGTCGCTAGACTAGACTAAGCTTAGCCAATAACTTACCAATAGTTATATATTTCCTTTTGGTAGCACGAGTTCAAAATACTGGTAAAAAGCTATAATGACAAATGCTGATTTTCAAGGCAATAAGTACCTCCTCACCATCTCCTATACTAAGCAGAGACATGTAGATTGTGTGGAGGAAAAAGTCTTTCATGCTAACAATGATTGTCAAAGAGTAACTAAAATGAAAACAAACTGAATAAAGAAATCTGAATTTATTAAGCCTGACTTGAACGATGAGTTTTATGGGCCAAGATGGCCGCCTTGGTGTGGTTTGGAAGTGGAAAGAGAATGAGAAAAGCTTCAAGTGAGGATATCATGAGCTCTGTCTTCCAGAAGATTCTCCATTTGGTTTACATCCTTGCTCCATTGAACCAACCGTTTCTGCATGGTGGAAATCTACAAGATAAATTGAAAACACTTTTAGGCAAAAATTATCAAGGAGATACAAAGTTCCTTCTAATAGTTTTTTTTTTTTTTTTTTTTAAAACATCATCATTGTAACTCAAAGAAGAAATTGACAATTTTCAGTGTTTAAATCAGGAATAAAAAAAAGAAACAAAACATTGAGGCTTCTTTTTATTTTTTCTCTATTTCCTATTCTATTTATGGCACTTCCCTGTTGTAAAACAGAACAATTAGGTGATCTTCTAACCTGTGCTAAATCCAATACTCTCGGTTGTACCCAGGTCATGTACACCTTCTCATCCACTTGATCAATGAATCCACGCACTAAGCCTAAACTTAATGCTTTCATCACCAGAGGTTCAACCTGTGATGGGGAAAGTAAAGAAAAAGTTATTTTTCATTGAAAAAGAAAACATTCTGATTAAATGACAAAACTACTGGAAATATTTTGCAGCTGCGAAAAGTAAGAAAAAAAAAGAAGAAAAATCTCTATACAATGTTGTCAAATTTTACCGAGAAAAGGCTAATTTCACAGTGATCAGTTTTGCATAATTTGCAATAAACAAATGAAAGAAAGTGAATTCTGTTAGTTTAGATTATAGAAAAAAAACTCTTAATATTTTTATCGTCTTGTTGCAAAAATGATTGATGTGAGAAGTTGCTGTTGATAGCTTACTTGTTCTCAATCATATCGGTCTCTTGCTTATGAAATAGGTAAGTGCAGAAGCTCTTGAGAAACCACAACTAGTCCAAATTACTAAAAAATAGCAATTATAAAACACACGTAATAAACTGCAAAAATGAACTGATCCACAAAAAAGATTTTCTACAGTGAACTTAATAATAACCTCCCTAATTATATTGCTGATGAAGAAATAAAATGTTCTATTAGAAATTTCAATATAATGCAAACAGAATATAATACTTCTTTAAATAATCCCAAACTTGTTTATATCACAAATGAATACATTCTAATTATAAACAGGACAAAAATATCTTAAAAATTAATACTAATATATCTGCCACAGATCCTAGTAAAAAAAAAAAAAAAAAAAAAAAAAAAAAAATTTTAATTATATACTAAATTTAATATATACATTTTAATCATTCATAACGACTCCTCTCCACCAACTAACATGCTGCAGAAAACCAACATTATATATGACTTTAAATGTTCATTGGGAGAATGTATCTCCAACAAAAGAAATAATATATATGTTGGTTGAACCACAAATATTTAGACTAGAAAGTTGAGTTTTAATTTGATTGATGCATCTAACATCTCAACATTTGTCATTTGCAATTTACAAAAATTCTTGTTGAAAATACATCTACTTTTTCATGAAAATAAACAACAAACAAAAAATTCTTGAAGCTATCTATATTAAAAAATTGAAACTAACCCCTAATAAAATTAATTATAAATACTGCACAAATGTTTTAAAATGTTTACAGTAGAAAGTAAAGCCTAGATATTTTTAAATAGCTTTAAATAGTTTTTTTTTTAATAGTTAGACATCTCAATAACTTTGTTATCTCCCTCGACATTACTACATGTACAGTACCTAAGTTTAGTGTTTTTTCACTTCACAAGTAAAAAAAATTTAAATTTTCAGATCAACAGAACAATTTTGTTTTGGAAAAAAACTAGACCCTGATGATAACATTGTGCTAATGCCGAAAGTACTTGGAATAAAATGAATATGCATCAACATGGTAACTTTTTTCCTTTAATACTAAGAAACTTCCTTGTAAATATGAGAGGATCCTATTAAGAATAAGTAAACAAAACTTGTTTAAATTATTTAATGAGACATGTCTTGTATATGTTTGTGTGTATATTATATTTATATACCTTGTTATATTTAAAGAAACTACACCTATAAATTAATACCCCATAATTAATATCCTAACATTTGAACTACCACCAATCCAGATTATAACAAAAAAAAAAAAAAAAAAAAAAAAAAAAACTTTACTATTTAAGCATTAATACAAAAGTATCTATCTATAAAAGGCAGGATGTGTGTGTGTATGTGTAACAAATGCACGGGCACAATTTTCGATGGATTTGCACCAAAATTTACATGCACATGCTCCAAGTTAGCAGGAAGGCTAAGACCGACTTTGCATTTCCCAATAGTGAAAATAATCGATTTTTTCATGCTTCTATGGCAGTTTTCATGTGGTTTGCGGCCATTTTGTACTGGCCAGAGTGACAGCCCATAGCTGGCTGCCACGAATAGGCAGGAAGATTCTATTGGCCAGCGTGAGAGCCAACAGCTGACTGACACGAATGTTAAAAGCATGCAAAAAAAAAAAAAAAAAAAAAAAAAAAAAAAAAAATCAAAAAAAATTTATAGCTGCATTCATCACAAGTGGGAAAAATTTAAATCTGCATGGCACTTTACTCCAATTGGCTCATTCGCTTGCTTAAACTCAACGTTGATTCTGATTCCACAGAACTGGGTTGGGTGTGAAAAAAAGTATTTGTTGTTAACATTCTTTTTTTCATTCGGTTTTTTCCAGTTATGAGTCCTTTTTAAAGCTGATCGTTTTGTGTTCATTTTGTTTAGTTCTTTTTTCATAACAGATTTAATGTTTAGTATAGAGCTTAGAAAAAATTTGCAGTGTGAGATAGGCAAGAAGTAAGGCATGTAGCAACATCAGCATGGCAAAGGGCACTCCTCCTTAGAGGCAAGGAAGAGCAAAAATATTTTAAGTGATATAGCGATTGCTGTATGAGTCGTATGATTTTTGAATCAAGCACAGGCAACGCTAAATGCTGCTAGTATATATTATAATGTGTGTGAGTGAAATGTATTTATATGCATACATATTCAAATAACATTAAATAAAACTTAATTATAAATATAACCTCCTATCATTAATACTCTAATACTTAAGATACCACCAAATCAAATAAGATAAATGAAATAATGGGTAAGTGAAGACATATATAAATATTTACCTTACCATTAAAACAAATAAAAGAAATTATTTAAATAAAAAAATGAAATACATCTACATTTTCCAAACTCAAGAAAGTAATTTTTGAGCATTCTAGGGCTAAGAGCAGAGATTGTCTGACAAACCAGATACTATTTGTCACTGACACTCAGTTCAAAGAGAATAAAAAAGGTGTAAAAAGCAATACGAAGAGAATACACAGAGACAAAATAAAACAATGAAAAAGGAGAAATAATCACATTTCTACAGGTACATGCACACATAAATAAAATGAAAGAGGGAAAAAAAAAAACAAAAAAAAAAACAAAAAAAACCTTGCTTCCAATGAAAAGTGTATAAATTATTTTTTTTAACTCAATATAAAAGTAATGAAAAATGAGAAAAACAATCAATTGCTGGTATCTCTTGATGTGTGGATGGAGAGATTGCTGGAGGGTCTGATTATGAGTTGAGATGCCGAAAATAACATCCATCAGCTAAGCGGCAAATTTTATATTAATCATATATATATATATATATATATATATATATATATATACATTTTTGAATAAAAAAAAAAAATCATGCATATGCTTTGAATATGTATTTACCTCATGGATAGGTAAGTTAGCTTCCTTAGCAATTTCCTTAAATGTCAGTTGACGGTTAGTGGCAGGACGACTGAATGTCATCTGGAAAATATTTGGATTAATAAAGAGACAAATTAAATGAAAAAAATAAAACAAATGATTCCTCAAATTTGAAACAAAATGAATGGAAAGACAAAAATAGACTTACTTCCATTAAACAGAGGAGACGAATCTTTTGTTTAAGAGCTACTTCTTCACTCACAAGTTCAGGCTGGATTAGAAGGAAAAAAAAACAAAAAAACATTTAGCCAAATCCATGTGTGCACATTAATACAGACTGAATATAACTTACCATAGCACACAGCTCATCTTATAGAAAAATTTATTTACCGAGCATTTTTGACATTTACTGTATGCATCACTACTGTTTTCTTGTGCCAGACTAAACTAAGTTCAGTAAATAACTAAGTATTGCTAAGTAATCAATTGAATCACATTATCTGAAAAGAATTCAAAGACAAAAGTACTGATTGGATTTAGACATCAGGATAAAATGAATAAAAATGATAAAAGCTTATCCAAACTATTACAAAAACACATGTCCATCTCTGGTAGTGTTTACTGTTTTGTAAAAACAATATTTAGAGTTAATAAATGTAGGACAATGATCTAAGATCTTTTCCAGAAGAAAGAACAGCAAAAGAATTATATTCTCAATAGGTATTACATTGTTATACTTGGCTTAGTACCATAAACACATGTCCAATTCAATGATTAGTTTTTGATTCTAACATGACTCTTAAGTTACTTGGCAGATTCAACCTACTCCCTTTTCACATAACATGTATTAGATTATAAAGTCAATATGGTTAAAAAAAGAAAAAGTTCCACATTGCAGCTGAAGAGATTTTTTTCAAGAACAAATTGTGTAACAAATGAACAAAACAGTTATAATGTAAGAAAGCTATCTAGTAGTGAGACATAAATATTGAGTGACAGATAAGAGTATTAAAAATTCATGTAATTGTTGTGTCATGTATATTGCTAAGTAAGCGTTCAACCTCTGTTCTAGTTGGTGTCTGTTTATCATATGAGCTACCTGCTCATATGCAAATTATACTAATTTGCATCTCACTACATCTTCCTATAACAGAGGGGCCTTATGCCGCAAGTACTTCTTGTGCCCTCCTGAACATCTTCCTTTATCTCTCTCCTTTCCCTTGGAGATCTAGATCTATCACATCTTTCCCTATAATCGAACTGTTCCTCTTGCATACGTTGGTCTTCCTCTTCTAACTTGTCCCATTCTACTTCTTCCTCTTCTAACTCATCCCTCTCTACTTCTTCCTCCGCAGTTTCATTCTGCATTAACTCTTCTGTTACGTCAATAATGGGCATCTCTGAAGGCATTTCCTCATCTGATTCTTCTCCTTGGGATCTTATTTGGTCAGCATGAGCTAGAACACTGTTCCCATTTTCTTTATTTAATATTGCAGTATTATGTCCTTTCTGCATAATAAATTCGGCTGACTCGGGTTACATATTCCTATTTCTTTTGTACCACATCTTTTGATTTGTGGCATATGACATAGTCAAAGGGGACCTTAATTGTCTGCCCATTAAGGCAGATGGACTTCCCGGCCTGCCTGCATGTGGAATTGTTCTGTAACTTAATAATAGGCTTGGTAGAAAAGCATCGACTTCCTCCTTCTGTTGCAAGCATGCTTTTATGCCCTTCTTTACTGTCTGGACCATCCTTTCCGCTGCCCCATTACTTTGAGGGTGGTAGGGAGGGGTCTTGTAAGGTCTGCATCCTATTTTTCTTAGCCATTCATGCAAATCAGCATCCACAAATTCTGGTGCGTTATCAGTCACCAATGTTCTCGGTGTCCTATTCCTCGAAAATATTACTATTAATATTTGTTTTACGGTGGTACTTTTTTTATCAGGTACTCTGACCACTTCAGGCCAACCTGAATATGCGTCTACTAATATTAATAATAGTCCTATCCCATTGACATAGGCATGGTCCATGTGTACTCTGCTCCATGGTTCTACTTCTCGGGGCCATACATGCATTTTCTTTTGCTTAAAATTCCTGAGTTCTGTGCATTTTTTGCATCTTTTTACGTAGTCTTCTACGTCTCTTGAGTACCCCGGCCACCACGCTTCCAATTTTAATCTTCTTTGCGTAGCTGCTACTTCACAATGAACGTCATTGTGTACACTTTTTATAACCTGTCTCCTCTGTGTTTCTGGGGGAACTACCAAGTCTCCATTACATATTATCCTGTTTTCTATAGTCATTTTATGTCCGATTTCTTTGAATGGTCTTTCAGCCATTGAACAATTTCCCCAGCGATTCTGTTTTATCCTCGACATTATTCTATTTAACACTGGGTCATTTGTAGTTTCAGTAGCCATTTTATCTACAGATATTACATCGGTTTCTACAAGGTGCAAGAATGTATCTTCAAATTCCTCGTCGTTTTTGTCCTTCTCTCTATAAAACCTCAATCTAGATAAGGCATCAACGTGTGGTATCGTATTCCCTTTAACATATTCAATGTCAAAGTCGAACGCCATCAGTCTAATCGCCCAACGTAATATTCTGGACGTTGTAACTTTCGGTAGCTCTTTTCTTGGGTTGAAAATAAATTCCAGTGGTCTGTGATCACTTTTCAACAAGAATTTTTTCCCCATCAAAAACTGTCTTGCTCTATCCGTTGTCCACACTATGGCTAGTGCCTCCCTTTCTATATTCGAATAATTGTGTTCAATTGTTGTTAATCTCCTCGATAAGTACATTATGGGATGCCCATCTTGTGACAAAATACCAGATATGGACTGCTGACTAGTGTCAGTAGTTAGAGTTATGTCCTTCTTAGGGTAAAAAATTTGGCTTTTTTGCCAGAATCTGTTTTAAGTTTTCAAAGGCTTTCTGTTGGTGTTCTAACCAAATGAATTTCACATTTTTTTTTCTTAACTTAGCAAATGGTTCTGTCAACTCATTATATTTTGGTACATATTTTCTATAAAAATTTACCAAACCTAAGAAGGACTCCAACTCTTTTATTTTTTGGTGTAGCAACTTTATCTGGAGAGATCCCTTCCTTTGATATTGAGTAACCCAAAAATGATATTTCATTACTGTTGGTTACACACTTTTTGTATTTATTGTCATACCAGCATCTCTTAGCCGGTTCAGTATATTTTCAGTTTTTTTCTTTAAATCATCATTTAAATCTCCAACACATATATTGTCTTGATAACAGATGGTATTTTCAACATTTCCTATTACTTTTCAATAGCTTTTTGAAAATTGCACTTGCCAGTGTTTTTATGCCATACGGCATTCTTTTTCCACCTTAACAGGCCTATAGGTGTGTTTATGGTCGTCACTTCTTTAAAATTTTCATTTATCGGTATTTGGTGGTAAGCTGATTTTAGGTCTACCTTTGAAAATACTTTCATTCCAGCAAGTTTATGTAAAGCTACTTTCACATTCGGAATAGGGTACAGTCAGCACAAACTTTATGGTTCACCCCTATTTTATAATCTCCACAAATTCTCAGGTCACCATCTCTTTTTTTTTTCCACAATGGGTGATGCCCATTTACTTCCTCCTTGAGGGCAGGTTCTAATAAGTCTTCCTTTATTAGCTTTTCTGGTTTAGCTATTACCAACGGTAATAAATGCACTGGTATTTTTCTCTTTTCGTAGTAGGAGGGGGAAACATTTTCTTTTAATTTCAGGCCAGCTTCTTAATTTTTTTTAATTTTCCTGTTTTTTCTATTTCTATCTCATTAATCAACTTCGTTGAATTTATTTTTAACACGTCATTCCCCAGTAGTCCATGCGTTTTTTCGGCAATTTGTAACTATAATGGGTACTATTTCATATTTTTCTTTTAGTTCTATTGAACCTTCAAAGTAACCCATAATTGCTATAATCGAGCCATCAAACTGACGTAATTGTACGTTGGTTTTTTTTTTCCCAGTTTTTTAATATCTGGGTACTATCGACTCACTTACCTGTGTCGATTTGCATTTCGACAATACAGCCGTTGATTTTCACTTTTATTTTTGTATCTCCGTTCTTAGATTCAGTATTTTGTATATTATCCTTTTTTACATTAAAAATCTGTCTATTTTCATCCTCTACTCTTTCCACATTTTTCGTTTTACATACTTCTTTTGAAGTGATTTTTTTTTTAAACACTTTGAACACGTTTTTCCAAAGGCTGGGCATTTTTTTTTTTCATTTCATGAATTTTTTCCACAGTACGCACAATTTTTTTTTTTTGTTTGTACCGTATATGTTTCAGCCATTATTTCTTCATAGGATTTATTTTTATTTTGGTTGTAGGTATGTATTAATTCCTGCTGTTGTATAAATTCTATACACATATTCAAAGGCATGTTTGTAAGTTGTAACTGTTCCATTAACATATATCTATGTGCTGAATTATGCATACCTTCAATTAATCTTAGTTGGATTAATTCTTCTTCCGTTGTCTGCTCTCCTGTTCCTAGTTTTTTGAATTCACAGTATTTACTCGCACTTCTTAACCGGTGTAAATATTTTACTATCGGTTCATCCACTTCCTGCTTCATTGCCATAAACTTGGTCCTTTCTGTAATCACCAGTCTTTTCTTTGGCCTCATGTTTCCCTTAATAACCTGACTTATTTCTTCGAAAGTCATTTCTTCTAGTTCGAGGGTAAACCATTGTAGCAACCTTCATAATCGCTTCACAACCAGCGGTAGCCATAAACAAGTCGGTGATTTCATTTTCCCCTCCTCTGTTTTTGTTGTCTTTCATCTTGCATTAGCAGCAAAGCAACAAATCCACGTATCTACGTATTCTGGGTCTTCAAGGACCAAAGAGTATCCTATCAGCGACGCCATTGTTGTGTCGTGTATATTGCTAAGTAAGCGTTCGACCTCTGTTCTAGTTGGTGTCCGTTTATCATATGAGCTACCTGCTCATATGCAAATTATACTAATTTTTATCTCACTACAGTAATCAAAGAGCAATGAAATTTTCCAAGAAATTAATTGTTTCTTTTAATGCTATAATTTTAAACAAGCTACTCAAAAGTAGTCTACATGTAATCATCGACTACCAAAACCTTAATTTTGAAATATCAACTCCACCACAAGTAAATCTGATTATATTTGTCAAGAAATTTACTGCTGATTTGTAATGGTAGAGAAAAATGTATAAAATTCAGTTTGTACTCAGAAAAAAGGTCTGAAATTGATAAACTGCTATTTTTATATTCTGCACAAGAATAAACAAAATAAACTTACCACACCCATCCATGAATTTTTGAGGTTCTCAAATTTGACCAAATTTCCACTATTAAAAGCATACAACATCTGGACAAGCCATTCTCTGTTGGTGCCACTCAAACTGTTCAGAACAGGGTGGGCCAACTGGATAAAATGTACAAGAAAATTTTCTCAGTGTTTTAACAAAGGAAATATTTTTCTTTCAGAAGTTATTTTTTTTCCATTACAAAAGGAGAGTAGTTTTTTTTGTAGATAAATCAAATAGTGGAATCAAAGCAAAATAAATAGCAAAGAAAAAATTCTCTTATCTGAAGTTTTAAATTAAGAATTTTTATTGTTCTATGAGATTTTCATTGAGTCAGCATAAAATGCCACTGTTCGCATTTATTAAATATACGTTTTGTTTCAAATGGGGAACAAATTATGTGAAAGCCAAAGAATTGGCTGAACATGACAAAAAAAAAAAAAAAAAAAAAACGATTAAGGCAACAGTTAAAAAATTAAATTGACTAAATCATTTGTGCTTTATTCAAAAGAGATGCTTATAAAGAAACTAAAAGCAACCAAATCATTCAGAGTTATAGGTGTTCAGTGCATTGATTTAGGCATAACTATTGAACAATTAAAACTTATTTTCGAATTTGTAAATGGTTATGTGTAGAGATAGTGAATAACAAAATTTATAGAAGTTTTTTTTTTTTTTTTTAATTGAAGAATTAATGTAAAAGTCATGAGAAGAGATTCTTTCTGGAGAAGAGAAGAACAGAAAAGGCTCATCAGATAAAAATGACAAGGGTGAGAGAAGATATCAAAAATATAGTCATTTTTGGAAAGGAAATGTCAGTGGAATTAAAAGGTTGTTTAGAAAATTGAAAACATTAATTTCAGAAGGTTTTCTGCTGCATACTTTTTTTTTTTTTTTGATAATAAACATTTTGGGGTACGTGTTTAGAAGTGATATTTTTTTAATCCAACGAATAATCAAAAAAAATAAATTCTTAAAAATGATCTCTTACCAATTCTCCAAAATTGTAAACTCCATTACCAAGCAGAGCAGCAATCCCTAAATGATAAGCTCTCTGTCGTTGATCCTCAACTGAAAAAGAAAACAGTTTTATCAATCAACATAAAAAGAATTAATCAATAAAATCTTGGTGAGGTTTTCGCCTTAGTAACAATGAAATTTTTCTTATACTGAATTAGGCATTTAAATATTAAGAAAAAATAAAACAAAAAACCAGTTTATCTGGAATAGTAAGAGATTTGAACAATGTTTTGGCTTATAAGGAGTAAACTTAAAAAAAAAAAAAAAAAAAAAAAAAAAAAACAAACATTAATGTTTATACATTAAAAAGAAATTATATAAGACAATAGTTTAAGTGACTGACATAAGTTAAAATATATTTCAAGTTTTAAACTATTAGGCAAAGAGAATTCATTCAAAAGTGTTTTAATATGCAAATAAAGATATTTGTTGAAATGTGTTCATTTTTAGTAAAGTAAAATAGCTAATGATACAATGTTAGCTTCTACAAACTAGGCACACTCACGAGGAATATCTTCTATCTTTGTACATCCTAAGAAACGCAGTGCATCCTTGTAGTAGTCAGCATGGTTCTTGATGATGTGTTGGTAAGAACTGGACAAGTTGTAAAAGCGGCTATGCACTGTGGTGACTCCATCAAGGCTTTCTAAAAGTTCTCGAGTTTCTTCAATAATTTTCTACAGCAAATAAAACAGATACATCATTCAAACAATGGACAATGTGTTACATTTCAAGAGATTCATTCTGCCTAAAAAGAATTCTTGGCTTATTATAGCCCGACATTTGAAATCTTTTCTCTTGGTGAGGAGAGAAATAAAACAAAGAAGAATACATAATTTACATGGAAGTTGAGGTAATTAGATGGAAGAAGGTAGAACAGGGCACATCAAACACGAGAACAATTTTGTCATGTAAACATAAAAGTCGTGAAACAATTTGTAGTCAGTAAGAATAATTAACACAAAGATTTTCAACAACCAGCATAAAGTAGACTTAAGGAAAAAGTAAGAAACGTGTTGTGAGATAATTAGCTATGGTTTCAAAAAAAAAAAAAAAAAAAAAAAAAAATCGAATTTTGCTTTCCTTTATCAGAAGGAATTATGAGTTCGCACTTTCAAACTCAAAGATATTCTGACAATATATTTCTTCCGAAGAAAACAATTTTTAGAATATAAAATACAAAGAAAGAACTGTCTATATTTCTGGGATGAGATTGTTCAGACTGTTATCCTCATCGTTATTGTCATATTCACGACATTTTGGACATTGTACGCTCTGCCTTTCTTCAGGTGATATATGTTGGAATTTTGAACCAAATCCTTTATTTTAAAAGGAAAGAAATTAAGACCAACTTACTTTAGTTTCTTCAAGTTGGTTGTTTTTCAATTTTAGAGTTGCTATGGTGGTCTGTACCAAAATCTTTGCTTCCTCATTGGATTTTACCTAGAAATATATTTTTCAAATACAAATTTATTCACTTAAGAAGTATATTTATTAAAAGAAAAAAAAAAGAAAGGAGAAAAGGGCTGCTGCAAAACTGATTGGCAATGATTGTGCAGCAAGATGGACACAATATAAAATGAAGAATTATTAAAATATAATTAACCAAATAGAATGTGTGTATAGGGGTAATTGTTATTAATAATTAAAGTGAAATTGACACGAAAGGTTCAGATTTTGACAGTGTTTGGTTCATTTTGCACTAATGAACTTGGAAAAGGCATAAATCCACCCCCTGGGTTGAATAGTAGAGCAGATCTCCTGCTCTTGTGTGGCAGCCAATCTTGAAAAAAAAAAAAAAAAAAAAAAAAAAAAAAAAAAAACAAAACAAAACAAAACCATAGACAAATGTAGAGCTCCTAAAACAGTTGGGTGCTGTACTTCACCTTTTGGTAACTCCTACAGCTGTGTTGGTAACAAATTGTGACCAAGAGAGGCAGGGATCCTGATGTATGAGTAGTCAAGATCTTTGTATCCCCTGCCTAGACCTGTTAAGCTCTGTGCTATACCACAGTCTCCCAAAATGGATGGATGCTAATCACTTAAGTAAAATCTTATTGCTTTATAGGTAGTCTAAAACATACATGTCAGTTTTTTTTTTGTTTTTTTTCAAGGCAAATCAATGTTTTCAAAATAAAATTACTATTAATCAAAGGGTGTTAAATTTTTCAGGATATACTTACATACCGTATAGATTTTAGCTTATCTATTTACATAGGTATCTCCACAAAAAAAAAGAAAAAAAAAAAAAGGGCATAGCTTGATGAAAAAGACGCCAAACTTGCCAAAAACAAAATTTTATCGACTAAATGGTTATGTTATTTTTAAGAGGAAAGACCAAAGTTTTTTTTAATTATTTTTAAAAATTTTTCCTTCTTTTTAGAACATTCTAAATTTTGATTAAAAAAAGCCTTGTTTCTCTTTGTATCACCGGAACTAGTAAAATAACATACAATTTTTAGCACGTTTTTTTGTATGACACACATTAATTTGGAAAATCTTGTAAAAATAATTATCGGATGTTCATGAAACATTCAGGAACTATTCACAGATGATTGAAATTATTATAAATGTTTTTTTTTTTTTTTTTATTAAAGTCATGGCAGAAATTTTTTTTTTTATATTTATTACCCCACCAATAACTAATTTTATGAAAATGCTAGAAATTTGATCGCGTCAGGTTTAGTGATTACAATAGTTAAAAGCACAAGGCTTTGATGAATGCAAATCATGTTTTTTTTGTTTTTAATTGGATCCCCCTACCTGAAAATCAGCTTTGAATTGTAACACACAAAACAAAGATATTATTTAATTTCAAATGCTTTTATTTGCTTTTAGTTGTTTTTATGAATATGGACAATATTTTCTGAAAGCTAAGAATTTTTTCGATGAAAAATGAATTTTTAATACAATTATTTGTTATTTCTTTAATTATAATAGATTTTTACATTTAAGTTATGATATTTTTTAGCGTGTTGTAAATTGTATCATTTTGACTAATCAGAAGATCTGCAGTAATTAATAAATGTAATTTTGTGTTTATAATCAGGCTCTAATTATAAAGTACGGAAGACCAACCAGAATAAAATTAAGTTGCGTTATTTGAGTTAAGCATTGTTCTCTGCTGTTAAGGCCTTTACTTTTGCGAAACATGTGGAGAAGTTAATTTGATTTTTCAATTTCAACTGAGAAATGGTACCTACAAGTATCAGTATCATCTTACGAAATTTATATGATCTTATTCCATAAATGAAATATCAAAAGTAATAATAAAATAAATGGAAATACAAATAACACAGTAAAATGTAATAAATGTGCATAAAATTATAGTATTTTATGTACACTTCTGATAAAATTTCATAAGAAAGGTACCTATAAATTAATTAGATACCTTTCTTATGAAACATGAAATTTAATCTCACTCTTAACAGTCTTATTTTAATTTCTTTTGTAATATATTTCCCATAAAGCATCATAAACGTAAAGGTGAAAGCTAAGTACAAAAAAAAAAAAAAAAAAAAAAAATTTAGAGCGCTGAAAGTTTTCCTTAAAAATAACAAGGTAAATAATTTGTTCATCTTAATGTAAATTATTTTACTTTTCTCCTTCCGTAGAACAAACTATCCTCACGGAATCCGTCAATATGTCATTTATCACCGGTCAAGTGATGCGAAAGTTTATGACCTGCTTTGTTTTATTTTCAAATTACATCTTTTCGGCACAGAAGTTAAGTTAAGCTTGGTTCAAAATATTTTAAATAAACATTATAATTTCTGATTTTCTTAAAATAAGTTTTGAAAAAATGATAATTGATTTTTAAAAGAATTTCAAAGTGAGATTTCCAAAAAAAAGATTTTTAATGAAAATTTCAGATGTGCTAGGAACGATTAAAAAAATGTAAAAAAAATGCCCCCAAAATACTTTGATCTTTCCTCTTAATAACAACTTTTTTTTCTTTAATTCTTTCTTTATACTTATACATTATACAATCTTTAAGCTTAATGTCAGTAACCATCCCCTTGTCATGAAAAATTACAAAAAAAAAAAAAAAAAAAAATCATTACGAAAAAAATTACTATTAAACACCATATTACTGGAACTGTAAAGCAGTTCCAGTAATGCGGTGTTTAATTGTTGTGTGTATGCACACATGTCTGAAGAAAGAAGCTGAATGCTGGTTAAAGAGAGCATTGACCCTGTTATTTGAAGGTTTATTTTTGACTTGGTGTGTGTTTTGTGTCTAAAAATCGTGTACCATATGCTTGAATGTGATAAACTGTAAATGACTATTCTTCCAGCTATTCTATTTAATTCCTTTTCTGTTGTTTTATTGTATAGATGATCTTAATAATTTAACCATGACCTCCTTGAATCCCCGAGAAATAAGCTCTGTAAGTGAACTTCAACAGTTTAGTTTTCACAGTGAAGAAGCCAAAGAAGCATATTGAAAATGTGGTTTCACTGTCACTTTTAGGAAATGTAAATATTAAAGAAAATTAGCGAGTCATACAGACTTTCAGTCAATAAGCATAACATGAATGTTAAAAAGAAGCATGAAATTTTATCCAGAATAATAGACTGTATTTTATTTTGTGGAAATATTGAAACTCCCTTATGTGGGCATGATGAAAAAGATAACTTAGTAAATCCAGGCGTATTTAGAGGATTAATAAATTTGGCATCTAAATTAGACCCAGATTTGAAAAATCACTTAGAAATTAGTATAGTTTTCAAAGGTGTTTCCAAGACCATTCAGAATGAGACACGTGAATGCCTGCTACAAATATACCACGAGGAGATAAGGACAGAAATTAGGGAAGCTTTATTTGTAGCTATCATGGTTGATGACACAATAGATGTTTCAGAACACACTCAAATGATCAAAATATATTCTAGAATAATTAGACAGTCCTTCCAGGAAAGAGACAAAAAACTGATAGCTCAGAAGACATTTAATGGTGCAAATGTACTAAAAGGCAAAAGCGATGAGCTCAAGCAAAAATAAAAGCAGTTTACTGTAGTGCACATTTCAATCACTGTTATACATATCATCTTGATTTAATAATGAGAAATGAAAGAATATTTTTCTCTAACATCTTAGCTATTCCAACATTCAAGATCACCACATGTATCCATTCTCAAGAAGCATATGGATGTCACTATTCCACGGCCATCATCTACAAGGTTGAACTTTAATATATGGACAGTGAACAGAGTTCATGAAAATTTGCAACCTTTAAAAAGCTGCCTTATTGAAATTTAGTGCAAATCAAACCATTTGAGAAGCAACAGGAATTTTACAATGTCTGAATGATTATAATTTCATGTTTTGGTTAGAGTTTTTTCAGATTATGCCTCATGTTGAAATAATTTACAACCAAAAGTAGTGTCAAGAAATTAGTGTGTTTAAAGTCAATGAATATATATAACAGATTTCAAAACTGCTATTTTAGAAATAAAAAATGAAATACTGTGAGAATCCTTCAAAGACACTCATGGCAGAAGCAAAGGAAGTATGTGTTGATATAATAGATATTCTTCCACTAAACATTTAGTAGCTGCTAAATTATTCAACCAGAAAAGCTTCAGTAGTTTTAAGAATGAACTACCTACAGAAGAGATAGTACTAACCACTGAAGCATATACCATGACTGACAAAGAAAAAGCTTGAAACTGAACAAAAAGTATTCTATTGCAGATCCAATATGCATGAATATTGCAAATTAACTGAGCTACTGAAATTTATCTTGGAAAATAATCTAGATGGTGTTCTTTTCAACACTGAAAACATTAAAATTTTTTCTAAGGAACTCTGTGAATCCTGAAAGATGAAATGCACTTGTGTGATTTCATTGGAGAGAAATTTCCTCAACAGTCACCCATGGATCAAGGAGAAAATTATTAACAATTTTGCTCAAAGTAAAACAAGAATGGATTTCATCGTTAAATGAATGGATCAAGCTTGAACTGTAACAATTTAAGTAAAAAATAATTTTTTAATTTCAGATTTTATCAATTTTATGTATAAATTTTCTTTTTGTGTTTTTTTTTTTTTTTTTTTTAAATTTTACACAATATTAAAACAATGGCTAAAAATTTTCTGATCTAATATCTTAGCCACAAGCTGCCACTGATAGTTATTGATATTTATTTTATATTTCAGATCTATAAAGATTGTCATGGGTCACAAGAAAGGAATAACAAAACAAAAAGATATTGTAAAATATTGTATAATGGGAACATAATGTTGAAAAATTCAAAAATATTGAATAAAGATGGTTAAATAAAATAAAAAAAAAAATAAATTTGAGAAAAATTAAATGAGTAATAAAGAAAAGTGAATTAACCAGGAAAAACATTTAAAAAAGCTAGTGTTGCATATTTTGAGAGATAAAAGAGGCAGAACATTAAAAACATTGGCTAAAATTATGAAAGCAACTAAACCATTACCTTTAAGTAAACATCATAAGTAGAAACATGTAACCATCCATATTTCTGAGATGAAGTATTATGTACACTATTCAGACTATTGACCTCATCTTTGTCGCCATATTTATTACATAAATAATAAGTAATAAATATGGCGACAAAGATGAGGACAATAGTCCGAATAGTGTAGCAACATGTAACTTTTTTTTTTTTATGAATATAGCGCTACATTAGATGGATCTGATGGCTAGGCTGCATAGGTAGTAAAATTACATATTCCTTCAAAGTTGAAGGTACCAAAATAAATGCAGAGAACTTTTGTAAGTTCTTGAACAAGACTTTTTTTTTTTTTATTGCTTTGAGTGATACAAATCACAACCAAGAAGCTGTATAGTTTAAAGTTATAGAATATATTCATACACAATGCTTTCACATTCTCTGGGAAACTGCTAATGTAAAAGTTGAAACCCTAGAGAAGTAAAAAAAAAAAAAAAAGACCGGAGAAAATTCTAAAATATCAAAAAGTCTATTATTTTACATATTTTACATGTTAATAATGTAAAACAATTTATTGAAGTACATGGAATATTGTGCTAATCAAAAATATTTCTAATACCTATATTTTTTAGATTTATTTATGAAAAGATTTATGTTGCACTTAGTGTGTTTGTGTAATTAAACCTGACACCGCGAAAAGTTATAATCAGTATTTTTTTTATTTGAAGTATATATAAACTTAAACTTCTACAACATAATGCTCATATAAGTATATTCTGAAAATCTGACTAATATCAGTTGGTTAATACCAATTTTATAGTGAAAACAATGACTTGCATAATAAAATCTAACAATGTATTAGCATTTTGGTTGGGTAAGAACAAATGTTTTAAGTAATATTTATAGCTGAATGCATACTATTGATTTTTTTTTTTTCAGGGAGTACTTGCCCATCTGGAGAATTTGTGAAAAAAAATCTTTAGAATTTAAAAAGAAAATATAAACAAGTCTACCAAGTTTTGTAATTCAGTTTTTTTTTTGTTTTCTCAAAATCATATTCTGAATGTTGCTATTAAAATTGTTTATGAAGTACAGCATAATTTCTAAAGGGCATCCATCATGCTAAGGGTCAGTGACAGAGACAAAGTGAATTATTAATATTAATCTGTGTTGCTTTGTGCAAAAAGGACAAATAAAAAAAAAAAAAAAAAATAAATTAAAAAAAAAAAAAAAAAAAAAACCAGATTGCTAAAATGTCTCCATATAATCTGGTGAAAAATGTGTCACTATTTGTACAAATGTTACAAAAGCATCAAAAATGCATAAATCAAATAAATTGGTAACATTATTCCCAAGCTAAATGTGAGAAACGAGAAGACTTACCACCTGCAAAGCAAATTTACTTGGCATGTCAGGTCCTGTTGAAAGACCGCGACCGGCATTAAAAGAGAAATGGATTATTCTGAAATTCCCATATCGCGGGCAGACGTATAAAGGAAAAAATAATAAAAAAGACTAAGAATTCAAACCACCTTGAATTTATAAAACCAGAAGTCTCGGGCGAACGAGAAGTAAGTTTTGTATGCAAATTTTAGTTGCCCCCGACGTGCGCATAAATAGTGAGTCTGGGAGGAAGACATCAGAACAAATTGTTGGCATGACGGCGTATGTACTAATGAGACTGAGAGAATAAGAGGTCACTAGCAACAGCTCAGTTGGTAGACTGGATGAAAGCAAGCACTTTAATCCATATCAGTCATTGCAAACGATGGGCGAACTGAATTACCCACACTAAACCTTTGGAAGGATTTAAGTGAATACAATCAGACAGAGATAGTTCCAAGTCAAGGAAATTCAGATAAGCAATAAAGCATGTTTAAATCTGCTAAAGATTTTATTAAAAGCAAATGAAACTGCTAATCCATGCATATAAAATGAAAGAAAAACCAAGTAAATGATATGCAAAGAGATGCTGATGTGGTTTAGTGTGGAATTTTAGCTCTAGATAGAAAAAAAAAAAAAAAAAAAAAAAAAAAAAAAAAAAATCAGCCGTTTTCAATTATTTGGAAGATAATTCACTGCCAAGAAATTATGTGAATAAAATGATTGAATGGAAACAGCAAAAATAATTATACCTTCTCTTGAATTTTCTCAAGAAATTCAACAGCTTTGTTTGGATCTAAAAGAGAAAGAAAAAAATCTTTTTAAGCAGGAAACCTTGGCATATACAAATTAGAATATCTGTTTAGTGCTACTTTTTATTGCAAAATTGTATTTCTAGACACTAATCATTATAAATTGATAGAGTTAAAATAATTACATTTCTCTCAAGATCTCTTGAAAAATGAACAAAATTAATCATCAGGGTCATTGTTTTTATTTTAGGGTCAAAAACAAAAAATCTGAAATGAAAATGCTAGTTCCCCTTCAGTATTGATAATTAACATTGCTGAGGTTTATATACTTAGTTAGCTGACTTATTTGTACACTTGAAAAGATTCTCATAAGAGAAGTCCTATTATCTTGATCATTAACTGTGTTTGGACTCTTGTCCTTACAAACTTTAATCTAGGACAGACTTGATATTTATAACCTGCAGTGCTATTTTTGTAAACCACATTATCCAGTCTCATTAGAAATGTCAAATTATCAATATTAAAAAAAAAAAGAAAAAAGGCAAGATTAATTAATTTTTAGGGTTTTATTAAATCAGTTTTAAGTTATTTTCATTATCTTTGTTATATTTTTTTTTCATTAAAAAAAAAAAAAAAAAAAAAAAAAAAAAAAAAAAAAAGGCAGTAATAGATTCCAGAAAAAGGCTCAACAGAAACATTTACTAAGTCCTACTATTATAACTTAAGCCATAACGACAAAGATTACTTAAAAAAAAAAAAAAAAAAAAAAAAAATTATGTATATAAAAACCCTGAGTAAATAATAAATAAGTAAAAGAATGACATTTATATAAAAATTGCTGACACCAATTTGATGGGCAAAAATAATGGATAGCAAATATTACATTAACATTTAGAATAAAGATAAAAGATATGCCAGAGAATAGCTGGCGGAATCAATAATTTTTGAAAAAAAAAAAAAAAAAAAAAAGAGACTATAAACAGAAGATCCAAATAGAAGGAAAACAAAATTACACATCAATTTCTCAAATACCTTAAATCATTTCAATGACATAAATATAAAAAGGAAACTCACCAGTGACTTGCTTAACAACAAGGATGACAATCTCCACTAATGCCAAAGAGTTAATCCTGAAATGTAAGAAAAAGGTAGTTAACAACAGAATGCAAATTTGCACAAGATAAGTCTTGCTTCTAGCCTGATTCATCATTTATTATTTAACAATGATCCAGCAAGAGTTGAGAGAAACAAAAATATAAAAAGCACTTAATATTCATCTTCATTTTTTTAAATGACAGATGTAGTGTCAATCTCTACAACAAATCTTTAATTAGATAGTTTAGTGATACAGATGGGATTTTGAAAGCATTTACAAAACTTAATTCTTTTGATACAGATTAGCTCAGAAGAAACTAATAGTATAACAGTGAACCTAAGAAAGGAAGGAGCAACAACAGATTACCAAGTAATGGCATCAGTAGTGCAACTATAAAAAATAATATTTTGTAAATTTATTTGAGAGAGAGGAGAGAAAGATAAATTAAGTTTTATATAGATTGAAGCTGCAAAACTAATAGAAAGAATTTACCTGTGCTCAAAATCTGATATAAAATTTTCATAGAGCTGTAATAAAAAATAGAAAATTAAAAAACAACAAACACATTTAAACAAGCAAAGAAAAAAAATTCATGTGTTCTCAAAGTAAATTTAAAAATTAAAATATCAAAATTTATGGGAAAGTTGAAAATACAATATTTTGGCAAGTTAACCTCTCAGAATGATAAATTGAAGAGCAGAGCTTATTACATTCACTTATGTGCAACTATCCCTGTAAAATGAATCCATCCTCAGCTATAGGTTAATAGCAGGATAGACTGGGTCCTATAGCCTTGGTTGGTAACCAGTCTACTGCAGAAAGTAATGGCAGCTTATTGCAGGAAGCCTTTGCAAAGTTAATCAAAAAGACACATGATTGCATTGTGCATGACACCTAAAGAAAGAATTATGAATTTGCTCATTGTTGAATTTTGCAATTGGCTTTGTTCTGCTTATACACCTGTCTGTAGTCAGTGTCATTGCAATAGGGCTTTTTCATTAGTCAATTCAGTTTTAATAATAATAAAAGGTTATTGAATGCAACATACACCTGATAAAGACTGAATAAAAATACTTCAGCTGATAAAGATAAGGACTATTGCAAATAATTCATGAATTATTATAAGCTTTCTTTTTCAGATCATAATTGTTTAACATTAAGGCTACATTCAATGCAAAAATCTAGATACAATTTTTGTCATCATGTGAATATTAATGAAAACATGTTTTCCTTAAATTAATCTATCTATTAATACATATTTGATTCATTCAATATATCAAAAGTCACTTACACGGATGAGGCCATCGCCTTTGTTGAAAATTGGATCCTGCACAAAATCTAGCAACTTTAGTGTAAGTTGATGCCAGAGTCTGAAGAAAATAAATGTTTTTGTAAATTTTCAATTAAAATAAGAATTCAAGAGGTATTCAAGGTATTATAAAATAACATGTGTGGGCTTATGGAAGCTGAACTCTAGCAGATTGATGAAATGGACAAGCATAAAGAATTCCTGAAAGTTTCAATTTACACTCATACTGTTCAAAATAGACATGATTTTTTAATGTGCCATAAAAATGGTCAGTCTAAAACTTGAGCAATGGATCAATTTGAAAATTTGAGGTAAACTACAAAATGGTAAGTGAATATTTAAGGAGGGGGGAGGGCTAATTAAAGTTTGCAAGGAAGAATGTATTTGAGAAGTGGAGAAAAAATATTGTGAAAATTGTGAGGATATTGAAAATGATGAATATTATGGGTTCCAGATGAACTTTTTTTCACCATTGTCCCAGAACAGAACCATTCTGAAAAGCAAGCTTAATTGCACCAAGATCAAAATGCTGTTTTCTAACATTTATAGTTGTCAGTAGCATTATATAACTACACTAAAATATTTAAGAAATAAATACTTATTTTGAGCCAGTCAATCTTTAATTAGTTGTCTTTAATTTAAGCAGTACAGGTTGTAACAAAAATTAAAAATGTCAAAATATTAAGGTTTTAAAAATGAATAAATACAAATAAATCAGTTAAATTCTGATGTAATTTTTATAAACTTTAAACATTTCAATTAAATCACCTTGAATAGCTTTACATGAAAATATACTTAAAATGTTCTTTCATGTACAGAGTAACTTTTATCAAACAGATTGCAGTGCATTCATTTTCTATATAAATTAATTTTTGTACTTTTTTTTTATCTGCCTTGCATCGTGACAAAACTTCCTATGATTTAGTTTATGATGATGAAGAGAAAACAACTCATAATTGTTGTTTGTTAATGGTTTGTTCAATTTTTTTAACCCAAATTTGATGGAAAAAAAAAAAAAAAAAAAAAAAAAATTATTGTTTTGTTTATTAAAGCAAAATTAGTTCTTACAATGCTGTTTTTCATGCTTAAAGATAAATAATGCAAATAGCTAAATTTAAATCTTTCAACCTTCATTTTTTACTTTGGGTTCATTCACAAGTTTAAAAAGAAGTGCTTAAATGTGTGTGGGTGTGTGTGTGTGTGTGTATGCTCAGTTCACTAAAAGTCTGTCCCTATTGGTGAGAAAGTGAGAATTTTCTTTTGAGAAATTAGTTGCTTTTACAATAAATATAATAGAATTTTAATTAAAAATATTATATAGTCCTAACCAGCTATCCCAAATTAATGCCATTAATGGTAATGAGGTTAATTTTGAACTCTGGTAGACGTCCATGCATGTCAGCAAGTATAACAAAATCATATATCTCAAACAAAGTGACAAAGCATCAGAATGATTGGAGAAATGGTCATCATCAATCGTCAGGCAAATTTTGCAGGGAAATCTGAACACGATAAAAATGAGAAATCGACATTCCAACCACCTGAAGAGGGCCGGAGTGTACAACGGCCGAAATGTTGTAATAAATATGGCAACAAAGATGAGGACAATAGTCCGAATAATGTAAATAATGTTAAATTAAACAACATTGCAGTAATATTAGCACAAAAGAACAACATGCTGAAGAATAAAAAAAAAATCCAAAAATCTGTAGTAGTATCTTCATTCATTCATTCTATGACTTTGTCCTGAGTATGTATCTGTTATAAGTGATGAAGTTTATTGTTATTCCAGTATACATTTGTCAAAAGAAAATTGACACTGTTGCCAATCAAACAGAAAAGTAACATTTTACAGCATCTAGATTGTGTTAAAAAGGCAGTAAAGATTGCACAAGAATACAACATTAGAAAAGTAATGTGGTGGAGACAGACCTTGCTGAAGCAAGAGAAGGCAAATTGTCTGTACATGTGCTTGTAGACATCATAGACCTGTGAGGCAAACTTCGACAAATCAATGTTGAAGTGACACAGCACATGTGTTATCGATGAGAACGAGGCTAACACAAGCGAGAGATCTTGGTTTCTTGCCCGAGACTGAGGAAAGATAAGAGCTGACTTTTTGTTTCAGGAGCAGTTTGGTCTTTGATACAAGTGAAGGTTATACCTGTGTTTCAGTGAAAGAGCGATAGTACTGTTGTTTATAGTGTGCAGGAAACAGAGACCTGAGCAAAGCATTGTTCCGGTTTCCACGTGTCAGCAGGAACAGATTTGAGTGGAAATTTACCCAATTTTTGTTTAAATCTCACAAGCTTTTTTGCTGCATATCACACTTCTCATGATATATGGCAAGGCTTTTGATGTCCGCCTGATTCCGGAATTTAGTGGCTCCACAACTGATATGCTTTTTGTTGAGTGGATAGAAAATGTGGAGTTGGTCTTTAAACTCTGTGCTATGGACAAAATCAAACATGTCCTACCATTGTGATTCTGAGGAGGTGCTCTTGCTGTATACAGGAAGCTCAGTAAGGAACAGAAAGCAGATGCAGAGCAGATTAAATGGGCTCCCATGACTGCATACACAACAGACGCATTCAATGTATATGATCAATTCGTGACTCGGTGACTTCAGGATAAACACCATGACTGGGGAGCAGCTTCTGACCCGAGTACAGGTCATCATGACAAACAAGTGAATTGGTCACTGCATCCACTGGCCAAACACATTCGGATTCAAAGGCGCTCCCCGTCGATTCATGCAGCAAGGCATTTATTTGCTACGAGTACTCTGGGCCCAACCATATGGTAAAGGATTCTATGCAAGGACACCAAGAGAGGTTAGATAGTTGAGTGCAGAAGTTTTACCACAAAATACATTGTTTAGGTGCAATAAACTTTGGCACGTGTCATCAGAGTGCCAGAGAAATGCCCAAGGGGAGGAGACGTCAACACCGGTCTTATCCCTGAGCAAGTGAAAACTAAGAAATTGTCCACCGTAAAAGTATTTGTGGATGGATGAGAGTGCACAGCTTTAGTAGATTCCTGCTGCTCACAGATGCTGGTGAGCAAAGCTGTGTGTTGCTATTGGTGACAAAGAGAAGTGAGAGTGATGACAACTGACTTTGAAGTGCCAGGGGTACAGCAAAATCAGGTTGAGAGTTGGGCAGGTTCAGCCCGTGAATGTTGAGGTCTTAGTTGTGGATGAACGATTGTTGGAAAATGAAGGCGGCTGGTGAAATGCTCATTTGATGGCATTTGGGAATACTGTGGGTGTTGGTAGAAGAGTATGGATTGACCATAGATGTAACACTAGTGAAATCCTCTCAAAACCGCACAGATTGTCCCACCAGAGTACCACAAAGGTGGTTGAATCTTCACAAGGAGGGAGAAGAACCAGTATCAGAGAGTTGTGCCACAATGGGGAGCCAGCTGAATAAAGATTTATTGACCCTCTGGTGTCTAAGGAAATCATAAGATCAGTTGTCAAAGCCTGTGAGGTCTGCCAGTCAATAGATCTGGCACCAGTTCATTGGAAGAAAAGAAAACCAGGTGTGGAGAACAACTGGAGCAGATTAGCAATGGATATAACCCATTATAATAGTAGACATTTTCTAATGCTCATTGATTGCGGTCCCTCCAGATTCACAATGTGGCGGTTATTGTGTCGGCAAGATGCAACTAGTGTCATTCACCAGTTGGAGACGATCTTCTTTGAATGAAGCTTGCCAACTGAAATGTTAACTGACAATGACACTGCTTTCACTTGCAGGCACTTCAAGGAGTTTGCAAGCACCTGGGGCATGTGTTTGAGGTTCTGGTGTGCATATTCACCAGCTGGAAATGAAAGTATTAAGACCATCGTGGTCAGAAAAAATTGTTCTGTGTTAGAGGCAGTTTATTGGTATAATGTAATGCCAAAAGATGACATCTCACCTTCCATGGCACTGGCTGATATGCTGTATAAGTACCATGTCCGAGTAAGAGGCATTGAAGCGAACCGCCCACCTGAACCACAAATGACTGGAGGGGGATATGAAGAAGGAGACAGCAGCAAATGTACAACTAAGTTAGGAACCGGGCACCTAACAAGTTGTCAGCCTGCAGTCTGTGCAGATTGATGGGATACTTCACCATATTAAAGACCTGCAGCCATTTTCAAGGTCATATCCATCATTGAGCGATGAAAGCGACACAAAAGAGTGAGCGGTTTATTTATTTGGGGTGGGGTTCACCAAATGATAGCTCCGACAACAGCAGTCTACCAGTGGATGCTGATGTGATCAGTGAAACTCCAGATGACAGTCCACCTGAGGATAAAGGCTGAAGAAGTACCTGTCAGAAGAGACCTACCCCCAGGTGCACTATTCGTGATGATGAGATCGGGTGGAGACATACTTTGCCGAAGCAAGAGAAGGCAAATTGTCTGTACATATGCTTGTACACATCATAGACCTGCAAGGCAAACTTCGGCAAGTCAGTGTTGACGTTATTGGCAAGAATGAGGCTAACACAAGCGAAATATCTCTGATGAAAAGAGCTGTCTTTTTGTTTCAGGGCCAGTTTGTTCTTTGAGACTGGTGAAGGTTATACCCATGTTCCAGAGAAAAAGTGATAGTACTGTTGTTTATGGTGTGCAGGAAACAGAGTCCTGAGTGAAGCGTTGTTCCGGTTCCCATGTTAGCTGTCAGCAGGAATAGATTCAAGTGGAAATTTATTTTCCTACCACCTAATTTTCATTTAAATCTCACAAGCAACAGAATCAGACATCAAGAAAGCAAGATCAACAACTGAGAAATTTATCCAATAGAGTGACACTTGATTCATCAATTATTGCTTGTGTGTCTTGGTTGCTTCAAGAACTGTGACAGGATCTAGTTTTCCCACGAAGTTTAAATCACAAAACAAGTCATGGATGACATTTCCACTTTTTTCATTGTAGTTTCTAGCAGAATTTGTACCTGTCATTCAATCACATTTAACAAGTATTGAACTTGAACAATGTGCCCTATTGCTTGTTGACAATGTAGGGTCACAAACGCCCAATCAGAATCACAAAACAGAGCC